ACAAATTATTTTAATTTTATTATTTAAACTAAATATAATTAAATATTTGTTTGTTTCTCAACGTAATATTTTAGTGAAATTGTAATTAAAGACGTCGTTGTTTGTATTAAATACCCAAAAATATACCTAAAAATCCAAAGAAGTCATTTTTCTATCAAAGTTCAGAAATGTTATGAAAAAAGCGAATTTTTGAGCGCTCTCACGAAATAAAGAGTTTCGTATCTGGTTCTCTTTGAAAAAGAGTCGATATATCAAAGTCTGTCTGTCCATACCTTCTTTCCATCCACTTGTTATGTTATATTATATATTTAAAACAAAAATTGTTAAATTTGCTGCATATTCATATATGCTGCGTGCATTTGTGTTAATCAGACGTAAAGCAGTCCATTGAGCCGAAAGTAAAGTAGTAATAAATTTAAAGAGAAACCACTAGTTCTCTGTTTAGTGAGTGATAATTGAGTAGAGCGCCGCACTTCAAATGTAAAAGAAACTCACTGTTTATGTTCATGATCTCGGCGCAGTATATACAAATATCTTTCTCCTCTCTGTTATATTTCAACAATTTTCTTATTAATGTAAGAAAATCTCTTGCAACTTTAGTTGGCATGCAAGAGAATATCTTATTACTCCCAATGCTCTCACTGGTCGTCAAACGTTGGAATATATCGCATGCGAGAGATTTCCTTCCTTGAACTTTTGCCGGTTGCCAATTAATATATTTACGGTTATTTGCAACTGGAGTGATATGAGAGAATGGTTTAATGGTAATTGTGAATGACCAGTATGTGTTTGTGAACGTCAGTTCAGGGTGACCAGATATTTTATACTAATGGCGTGTGAGTATATTTCAGGTCTATGGGAGAGTCCAAAGACCAAATAGTTTGGTCAGGAGAAGGAAGGGTTATGCTGCAACTACCTATCTTACCTACCGCACAGTCATAACCTCCGACTGGAAGCGTGATATGTATACACGAGCTACTGATAGCGGCGAAATGTTGCCAGCTGCCAGTGGTGACTGCATAATTTAGAATTTTCGTCAATGAACTTAGTTTTCTTGGATTTGAAAAAAACTACACATTTTCTTAGTATATTTAATATTAGTTTGAAAAGTCATTACTGGCAACCTTGTATAGCAAGGAGAAACGAGCCGAGCCGATTTTACGGGAAAAATCAACAATGGATCGCTTAACGACCGAAAACTCGTTGAAACCAACCACAAGAATGGCGATCCAAGCCTGACCATGGTTAGATGTTTAAACACCATTGAATGTGAATGTGAAAGTGAATGCGAAGACCCGAATATGTCTATTACTCAAGAGCTGGGACTTTTTTACAACACAAAATGACGTATTTTGCGTTTGGACTTACACCTCCATCCGTTTGCGATTGTGTGCTAGAATAACGAGCAGTGGGCGGCGATATTTTCGAATAAAATTTTCTTCGGAGACATTTCTCACTCGGGGATACATAAATAAAAAAAATTTTGCTTTTGGGGTTGTGGCAATCATAAAATAATTGAAAAGGCCATTCCACAAAATTCCGGTATGGTCGTATGGTAACCGCCTTTTTCGGGCTTGCAATTGAAGAACACTGCACTGGTTTATTGCAATAGAAATTTCCAGGGCGCGTGAACTCTCGTCTTGATGATGACAATTTGCCATCGAGGTCGTGGGTTTCGACACCATTGGACTCTTCTTTTGGAGCTACATCTTTAACTCTTGAGCACTTGAAAATCAACATTCGTCCAGTTATGGCTAAGATACCTTCCAATATGTGCCACAAGTACAACACCTCAAGCGGTTTGAAGTTTGCTAAAGTTAGCGAGGATCCAAGTTTTATAAAAAAAAAGAAATTTCGTGAAAAAAATGATTTTAAATGTATTTTATTTAAGTTTATTTTCGATTCCGCAAAATGGATAAACCTGTGTATCCATAATTACGCTTTGTATAAGTATAACTCAGCCCTGCCGCTACTGCGACCACAGAGAAAATTTGTGGATTAGATACATGGCTGCTCCGATACTGTATGCTCCGCCTTTTCTTGCGACAAAATATTATAATGATTAACAATTTGTTATATTTTAATAAAATTACCAAGTCTTGAAATCGGCTGTCAGAAGAGCTTTTCACCACATATGGTGACAAAGAGAGCTTTTTCTTTCAAATGAGTTTGTCTTTGTTTTTCGAAAGACTTTCAGCTGTCTAAGCGAGACTAGCCCTGTTAATGTAATATATATGTATATATTTAATTATTCTTTCATAATTTCCCGTGCTATTATACAATGCAAAACATTATCAGAAATACTTACATATGGAGATATATACACTTAAATTCCAAAAAAGAAATTCGCCAAATAAGAAAGTTGCCCAAATTGTCATGAAAGTTTAGACTTGTGGCTATTTCCTTTTTTAACGAAAAATTATTATGCGTTTGGAATTTTAAATTACAAAGTACTAACTTTTTATTGGTTGACAGTGAAATCTTTATCAACACTTTTGCTTAAAGCTGCACAAAAACTAAACATAAAATGATATGTCAATTCTAGGAAATAAATGAATCTTGAAAATCTTATTAAGGATGACGAAAATAGTCCAACCTTTTCGTAATTAGATATTAAATTATGTACAAATTCCGCGAAATTCCCTATTCGAAGGAATATTGTTCAGAACAGAACAGAGTTTAAAATCACAATTAAAAAAGACAAACGATGCCTTGAATGATATCAAAAACTCTTTCGAGGCTGAGTATTTCGTGAAGTTCGAGCGCATTTCGTACTCATTACAGTTCATCGGAACTTTGCAGGCGGCTTAGAATTGTATGAGAAGATCGTCCGAATATTGCTTAAGCGGTTATAAAATCTCAACAGCTTCCATTTCGGCAAAAGATATAATTTCATGCTGACAACAACAGTAATGAACATGATATATTAGATGAAGTAAAACGCTATCCTTTATTCTTGCAATACATGTCTTTAGTCATCTGTCTTTTTTCCAATAGTATTTTTTTTTGTCAGATCACGCGTGGGTCAAGGTGTTATGTTATTTTTGTGCAGGTTTGTTTGGTATTTCATCGAGATCGTCGAGATCTTAAATTGAAAGCGTACAAAATGAGCTTGTGCAACAACTGAGGCCGCTCGATCTTTCCAGGCGACCTCGAAAATTTTGAGTCAATTTTTGTTTAGCTTTAACGCCCATAGCTGGCTCAATGGATATTTAAGCATGCAAAATTGCCGTATACAGGACGGAGAGAAACTTGAGGAGATTCAAGAGCTGCCATTTCATCCAGAAAAAAACAACGGATTGGTGTGGTTTATGGGCTGCGGAATTATCGGTCGATATTTCTTCAAAAATGATTCCGGTGAGAACGTAACCGTCAATGGCGACCGTCACCGCGCCATATAACCGACTATTTTATGCCTGAAATTGAAGCTCGTGACCTCGCAGACATTTCAGGTTTCAACAGGACGGCGCCACTTCCCACACATCGCATCAATCAATGGACTAATTGAGAGAACACTTCGGTGAGTAGAGAACTTTTTTGGGCCGTTCGATTGGCCACCAAAATATATAAAGTCTGAAGTCCAACAACTCCGCTTCGATTAAGGACTTGGAGCAAATCATCACGCGTATCATTTGTCAGTTACCAGTCGAAATTCTCGAACGATTCATCGAAAATTGGACTCATCGGATGAGCCATCTGATACATACGGTATGGAAGGCCAATTGTTAAGAATGCCCATGAAATATGAAATAAAATAATAGAGTCTAACTGTTGCGCAAGCATTGTACAAAAAGCTGTTGGAATAGCTCGATTTTTGGGTGCCACATGAGTTAACAAGAAAAAACCTCATAGACCGAAATTCCAACTGCGAAGCACTGCTGAAACGTAACAAAACCGATCAATTTCTGAAGCGGATAGTGACTGGTGATTAAAATTGTATCAAGGCCAGTGAGCCGCCACGGCCCTCACGCCAGGATTGACCTCCGCAAAGGTTTTGTTGTGCGTTTGGAGGGACTGGCAAGGAATCATCTACTCTACTAACTCCTAATTCGGACCATTACTGTCAGCAATTGGACCGTCTGAAGGTAGAAATCGCCTAGAAGCGACGAGCTTTGGCTAACACGAGAGGAATTGTGTTTCATATCAGGACAATGACAGACCACATAGATCGGTAGAGACTCGCCAGAACCACCGAGAGTCTGTTTGGGAGGTTTTTAAGCGTCCAACATCTAGTCTAGTGAATATCAGCAGTTATAAGGCTTCTACCCTTTGAAAATGGCAAAAATTTATCCAGCAATGGAGTACTTTTTACTAACCCAATTTTACAGTTTTTATTTAAATTGAATTTCAAAGGTGATTTCAAACAAATTTAGTTTTCAAAATGTATTTAAATTTATCAATTTATGCTGAAATAAACATTCGCTTAACGCCTAACAATAATTCAGTGAATTCCTTAAATTTCTAAAGAAATAAATAATTTTCTTAACAGACACATATTTACATACATAAATTCATATGTACAATTAAATGTATTTTAAGTGCTATCAACACAATTTTTCTATATATATATATATATATTTTATAATTAAATTTTAATTAACTATTTACATATCTACACACTTACATATGTACATATCCGTACATAATAATGTAATGTAGTTATTTCATATGAAAATTTAACAGTAACCAAATTATAATAAACTCATTTAATTACAACTTACGGTTGAGCAAAGTTCCGAAAGGTAATTTTTTGTGGCAAATAGGAAATCCGTTATGCGGAAATTTTCGTGGTTTGCGCCAGTGTCAAACAATTTTCATTATATTCATAGGAATAAATAAAGTTAGAAATACTTAAAACTACAAAATATTACTTGGCGGCATTATTAGGCCAGAGTGCTTCTTGGCATATAGCCAAATCAGGATGTTGGATGGAGGATGGGTGGTTGATTTTGTTGGGAAGAGGATATATGTAGTTCAGTGTGTAGTTAGATGTGACTCACAGGTAAGTTATGCGCTGGCGTCATGGTCTCCACAAGAGTTGATTTCACGCCTTTTATGCTCCTTCCGCTTCGGCCGTTTCTACTGCTGCTCTTGCTTTTACTACGCTGTTCCAGAGGCGGTTGCGTAAAGTCAATATGTTGTATTGTTTCCAAATCACTGATTGAGCGACGTAATTTTGTCACAGAGGCACGTTTAGCATGAAAAGAGCTGCGTATGAAGCGCGCAAGCTCGTATGCAGGATTACGTACGCCTTTGTTGAGTTGAGGTGGTGTGACCTTGAATGTGGGCACCAGCGGTGAATGCAGCTCGAAGGAGGAATCTGGCGTATAATTACGACTGTCGCTGGATTGCGTGATGTTTGAACCGGCTGAAGAGATGCCATCATCATGTTCCGCCTCCTCCTCCTCGTCACCGACGTCAACAGCAACTCCTTCAAAGTAGTAAGCATCATCAATGTTGTCTTCCACATCGGAATGCGGCAACGGTTGACAGCCAAGCGTGGCGGCAGCGCGTGACGGCGTAGGTGAAGCCGTCGAGCTGCGCGCACATCTAGCGCTCACTTCCGTTTCATTTGCTTTACACTTCTTTTTGCCGGAGAAAAACTGCAACACCTTAGCGGCCGAACGGTAACTGGTGCGCTCGGATTGTGAACGTTGGAAGTGATTACAACATTTTGTTTGTGGTTCCTGGTTAGCCTGGATTGATGTAAGCTCTGTGGGCAGTTCATCCAATTGTGTTTGACTGTCGGCAGAGCCCAAATCGGAGTGTGTAGATTGAGTATCCGGCGTGCTGGCATCACGCAACCAATTTGCTGGCGCACGCGGTGAATTGCTGCGGCTGCTTTGCGCACTTGTACTGCCGCTGTTGAAGACATTCTGATAGAACGCTTTTGCTTTGCGGCAAAGATATGGTGAGTTTTTCGGTGTGGCGCGCGCATTGCTGGTGCTGTTGCGCCGACAAGGACGTGGCTCAGTTGACGCGTCTTTTTGTGGTTGCTGTTGTTGGTGGCGCACTTCAAAGTCACGCACAAAGCGTGCGAGCTTCTCGCGATCCAACTCGGTGACACAACGATGACGCAACAGCCGCTGCGGTGTTTCCGGTATGTGTTTGATCTCGAAGCTTGCATCGAAGGTGGTAGAGTCGTTGATTTGACTGAGTGTCTCGACAAAACGTTCAACCATTTTGAAAATGCAACGGGATTTCGGCTCTTGTGTTGATGCAAGGAACTGTTGTGAAGATTTTTGATTTTGCTTTGGGATTTTTTGGTTTAGTTGATTTTTGTTGTTATTGTTGTTGTTGTTTTCTAAATGTTGTCGAATAGTTGTGTGTGATTGCGGAGTACTTATTTGTTGATTTGTTGTACGATTTATTTCTTCACTTTTCGCAAATTGTTTCTGCACTTTGTGTAGTGAGACGTTTTTCTTATTTGTTGTAAGTTTTTTATGTTTTTGTTTAGAAATGTTTTTTAAGCTCTTGCACAATCTACCTTTTTCAAACGCGTTATTTGCATTTATTCGACTATTTGTGTCGTACATTGTTTGCTTGTATCGCTTTGACTGTGATGAGAATTAAAAATTTTTTTTTTATTTTAAATAATAAAACTTAATTTCAGCTTGCAATAAATTCGCAAATTCACTTTTTTGTTTCAATTTGTTATGATTCTAAATAATTTTTCAATCAGTTTTCCGCTCTGCGATGCTACTCACGCACTGCTCGCCAGCATTAAACTGAAATGTTTGCTGTTGGACGGCAATTTAAGTAAATTCTCCTGTTAGCCATTTGGCTGCCTCACCTCCTGGATGCTACACCCGCTACAACAGCAGGTAACCCAACGATCGCTCGTTTGATCGATCGACAAAGCGTTCGCCTTGCCATTTGCGCCTAGCACCGATATTGGAGGGTGGAAAGTATTTGCATATTGTAAATAAAATAAATTTATGTTTAAAGTAAGTGCGATAGATGTGGCGCACACTGTGACGGTTGCGGAGAAAAATGCTCAAAATGAAAGTAAAAATTTTAGAAAAAGCTTTCTGCAGAGAAGAAAGTAAACGCCTACCATTAAAAAATCCTAAATTTTGAAGAAATTTTGTCTTTCTATTAAAGTATAGATATAGTATATCCATCAAATGCAAAATATTGAGGCGGTGCCTTAGGGTCTAAAAAATAAAATAGCAAAAGATGGATGCCGGCAAAAATGTCTAATGCTCAAATTTATCATTCGACGGCTGTGCCTTGTAGGTATGCCCCGAGCGACGCGTTTTCTCGAAATCCCAATTTTTAAACTGGCCGAAGACATAACTCGAACGAATGTTAACCGATTCTTAGAAAATTTCAACAGTACATTGGAAATACCGTTCTCCAGGTTCGTTCGTCATTTTTCTCCTTAAACAAAATTTTTTTGCATTTTTTATAGTAAAAAGTTTAACTTTTTGTTCAAACGTGCACCATTTCGCGAAAAAAAAACAGAAATTTTATTTTTTGAACCAAAAAAAATTAAGGAGTTTACGTCTTCTGCCATATACGCATTAGGAAAAAGCGTCTTTGGAGAAATGCTGGACATTTTGATATTTATTCACACGAAAAATTGTGTAGTTTGTCGATTGTCTACGAGATAAGCCGGAGACGACTGACGCCTTGAAAGAGAATATTCGGCGATTTATTGTTGACATACGACCACAATTGCTGCAAATAGTGGGGAAAAATGGGCATTTCGGCTGGAATTCAATCGAGTCTGCCATGTCGCTCAGTTACCCGAAATAATTTTTAAGTCTAGTTTTGTACGCTAATTTTTGTGTAATGGCACACGTTATACATCATAATAAAATATGAAATTTTAGCAATGAGGCGGAAAGGAGAGTCCGATAACATGTTCCAGAGCGCGAATTTCGAATGTTTGTATTCGAGAACATTCAAAAGGAATCATCTAGAAGATACATGCAAGCAATCCATAACTATATGAGGCCGAAACACGCATTGCTGGCATGTACAGTTGAGTTTGGAACCTGGCAGTGGCAACAGCGGTATGGAGTAAAGCGAAGTGAACTGTGTGTTTACAGAAGAAAAAAATGTGTATCTTGGGACTCTTCTTTAAAAATCTAGTGCTTGAACTGAAAGGATTTGGAAAATCATCAATGCTTATTTAGTGTTAAATTATATTGTTTAAGGAAAAAGTTCGTTCGGTTTTTATCTAAGAGATAGCATTATTGTCCTTAGTACTAGTATTACGTGTCGCATCATGTCTTACTATACGGAGCTGAAAACGTTTTTATTCGCGCTAAACGTGTGTCTTTGACAGTTTTTCGATGATTGACTCAGTACGAGCGCTCGTCAAAGATGGACACCAGTAAAGAGAGAAAATTCGCTATATTTTACAATTTTTCCTCGATCAATGCGAAAAGGCAGTCAAAGCGGCTGAAAAAATTAATTTAGTTTGTGGGCCCGGACGTGTAGCACAAAAGTGGTTTGTTAGGTTCCGTTTCGGTAATTTCGATGTCAAAGATGCACCACACGTCGGAAGGCCTGTCGCCAAAAATTGCGAAAAAATCCTGGAAACGGTAGAAACTGGCCGTCACTTTTTTAATTGATGAGGAACTACAGATAAGCCAAAAAACCGTTTGGAACCATTTGCGCAACCTTGGATTCAAAAAGATGCTCGATGTTTGGGTCTCACACGAACTAATGCAAAAAAAAACATGATGGACCGAATTTCCATCTGAATCTCTACTGCCAAAAACTGGACCGCTTGAAGACAGCACTCATCCAGAAGAGGACTTCTTTGATCAACAGGGGCCGAATTGTGTCCCATCAGCACAACACACGTCTTTGGTGACGCGCCAGAAGCTTTAGGAGTTCGAATGGGAGGTCCTTATACACCCATCTTATAGTCCGGACCTGGCACCAAGTGATTACCATCTTTTCCCATCCATAGCGAAAGCGCTTAATGGTGAGAAGTTGGCCTCAAGAGAGGCCAGTTCAAATTGGCTCTCCGAGTTTTTTTGTCTTCTGCGAGAGGGGTATAATGAAGTTGGCATCTCATTGACAACAAGTTTACGAACAAATCAGCGCATATTTGACTTAAATTGGACAAATGTACACAAAGTTGTCATTTTTTGAAAAATCAAGAGAAAACCGAACGAACTTTTTACTTGACATAATATATTGTAATTTAGGCCGAAAATATTAAATCATGTAAAAAAAAGTTGTTTCCAGCTTCACATTTTTCAAGGCATAAAGTGCTAATAAAAATAACTTAAAAGATTTAGCTGCCCTAAGCTTCACTAAATCCATTATTTTAATCCGCAATGACAATCGGTGAATTGTTATGAAGTGTGGAGAGAGACATTTCTATTTTTGCACTCAATTTTTAAAATAATTTATATTTTTTGCTTCTGCAATGAAGGCAGGGCCCATACATAGCAAATTATAACACCATCGGCGCACAATAACTATTTTTGGCCGCAAAATGTATGAGACGGCTCCACTGTGTGGCGTAGCGTGACGTGTTTATACGTGTTTGTGTGTGTTGGAGTTAGCAATAATTAAAAATCATAATCAAGAAATAAGATTTATTTACAAAATAATTACGTGGAAAACAAACCGAACGCATATGGATTACAATTTCTAAACAGCTGGACTGTATTTGAATGAAATGATTTTGAAATGTAAAAAAAGTGGATTTCCTCGAAAAGTGTGTGTAACGTATAATGAGGACTTAAGCTTCGCCTAACCTGCAGCGCATACACACCCGCTAGAAAGGCGTGACGTGACTTGCATAAACTGCACTTCTCAGTATTGCTGCATTTTATACGAGCATAGCCGGCGTACCTCGTGAAATACCGCACAGTTTATAAAATTTTGTAAACGTGCCCCGAAGCACGGATTTGAGAGATCACGTCACTTCAATTTTTACTCATCCTGTAGTAAAATGGCAAGAAAAAATGCACCAGTTGCAATGTGGGTCAAGATGAAGAAGAAGAATACATTTTCAACGCAATACCTATGGTAGTCCTGCATTTTTTATATTCATTTATTTATTTCTTTTTTTTTCTTTTGAAAATAAAAGCTAATCAAGTGTGTAAGTGGGATAATTTGTTTTGGCATTTATTGATTAAATATTTTTTTTTTTAAATTAGGGTTTTCACAAATTTAAAATTTTTAATTCTGCTGAAAAACAAATTCATATAATTCTTCTTAAAAGTATTTATTGCGCAAATGTAGATTGAAGCTAACATCTGTCGATATTTACATTTCCGAAAAATTGTGTGCATGCAATTCAATTTATTGAGAAGTGAGAATTCTTTTTAGAAAAATTCCGAAAACCTATTGTCCGCTATAAAAATGTGCACAGCATGTGAAGATTTTAACAAAACGAAGAGTTCAATAAATAAAATTTTATATGATGCTTATTAAACAAATAAGTATGGATAGAGGATAGAAAACTTTGTAAAAAAAACTGTCTTTGTCCTCAGTGACTGACGGAGCAATCCTCTGGCTAAACCACTGATCGTAGTGACCTGAAACTTGGAGTGTGTTCGACGTAGGCACATGATAATAAAAGTTATTCCAAGCTACTAGAACTATTGGATGATTGCATAAGTTCGTGCCCGATTTCAAGTGCAAACTAAAATTGAAATTTTTTGAAGAAAGCGCTTTTATTAATCAATTATGTATTCGCCATCATGTTCGGCAATCCACTCCCAACGTTCAACCAAGTTACGGATGCCTGATTCATAGAAATCGCGCGGTTTCTCGTTGAAAAAGGTGTCAAGGTGGTTTTTGACGTCTTCCACATTTTTAAACTTTTTTCCATTCAAATTGTTCTGCAGCGATCGAAACAAATGATAATCAGAAGGCGCAATGTCGGGTGAATATGGGGATGCGGCATGATTTCCCAATTCATCTCCTTCAGTTTGGCCAGGGTCGGTTTTGCGTTGTCATGATGGAAAAGAACTCCTTTGCGATTGGCCAAAATCGGACGTTTTCCATCAATGGCTTTCTTCAATTCGACCAATTGCTGACAATACTTGTTGGCATTGATCGTTTCTCCAGCTGGCAAGAGCTCAAAATAGATCACGCCTCGGATATCCCACCAAATGCACAGCAGTACCTTCATCGGATGCAATCCACCTTTCGACATCGGTTCCGCCCCTTCGTGTGCCTGTTTCTATGTTCTTTTGCGTTGACCATTGTTGTATAGGATCCATTTTTCATCACTAGTCACGAGCCGATCCAAAAAAGGTTCGTTTTTGATCCGTCGAAGCAAAGAAATTGCTGTTGACATACGCTCCACTTTGTTTTTTTCACTCAACTGATGTGGCGCCCATATATCGAGCTTCAAAGTGTACCCAACCTTTTTTAAACGACGAAACGCAGTTGATTTGTTGACGTTCAATTCACTGGCAACCTTTCCCGTCGAAATACGTGAGTTATTCGCAACTAAAGTCCTTAGAACATCGTCATCAAGCTCAGAAGGCCGTCCACTGCGAGGTTGATCTTCGAGGTTAAAATCTCCAGAACGAAATTTCGCGAACCATTTCTTTACTGTGCGGAGTGCTGG